AATTACTTTGATTGCAAGGCTATGGCCATGGGTGCTAGATCTCAATCAGCTAGAACCTACTTGGAGAAATATTTAAACGATTTAAAAAATTGCAAATTAGAGGAATTGGTGAAGCATGCTCTGCGTGCTCTTCGAGAGTGTTTGCCTAATGAAGTTGAATTAAATTCAAAGAATGCATCAATTTCCATTGTTGGAAAGGGCATGGACTTTTCATTGTATGAAGATGAAAAAGTGGAACCATATTTGCAAGCCATTGCAGGCGATGAGAGACCTCGAAGAGGAGGTGTTGCTGGAAGTGGAGATGAACCTGGCGATAGTAAACCTGATGATGCTGCACCAAAAAGACCAGAACCTGAAGCAGCATTTGAAACTATGGCTGTAGATTAAACTCTAAATAAACAATTAGTTACTTTTGTGAAATTCAATTATTCTTATTAAAATGTCTAATGTTAATGTAATGTAAGAACATGTTTTTTGATAATATACAATGTATAAGTTATGTGGTTATTGTTTCTCTTGGCTTTATTTTTATTGAATTTTCTTTAACATTAAGTTAATTTTTTTAAAATTTATATTTTACCTTAAAGTATATTTTCTGTTTAGATCTGCATATTTTTTTAACTAAGAAATTGATTAAACAGTTAGAGTTTGTTTCGTCATGGCGGGAAAAAAAATCCTTGCAAATGAAATTCATTGGCTTGCAATCGTGTGTTTTAATTGCTAATTTGTTTCATCATCCAGTAAAAGTGCCTTTGTGTTAGGAAGTATATTTCTTTTGTTTGAAGAAAATTTGAACCTATAAGAGGCAAAAATTAAATCCACTTGAACAACATGAGTTAATAATTAAATATTGGCTTGACTTTAACTAAATGATTATAAATCTTATATTTCTACTTATTTTGGCAGACCTTTTAAGGTGGCTATTCAAAGATAATTAAGGAATGTGTCATCAAATATCCTTTTTTTTATATTGCAATAATTTTTGCTTATATTTACATAAATGACTTTAAAATATGAATACATCATTACCTTTTTTCACCTAAATTAAATAAGCTTATATCAAATATCCATTTTTCTGAGACATCTGATCGAGGAACTTATGCCTAGCATCCACATGCCGCAGGCAGTTAGTGTTCATTTTGTGTACTCTAATTTGGCCGATCTGACTGTCATACTCTCATATAAAATTTGTGACTTCTATTGCTTCAAAACTAATTAAACTCGTTTGAATGACACGGTGGATACACTTAAGTGCCACTGAATCCAGGATTGGCAATGCTCTGGGAATGGTGTAGCACTCTGTCTCATTTATAGTAACATGCAGTTGCTATTATGGTAAATGCATATTTAGCTACCTACTGTGAATGTTGTTAATCAGTTGTTTCAGCTACTAATATGGAAAAAATTTTATAAACTTGCTTTGATCGTAGACCAGGGATGGGCAAACTTTTTTGGTCGAGGGCCAAAAATCGAGAAAAAAATGTTTGGTGGGCCAAATAAAACTTTAAAAATTTAAAAAAAAAGTGATATACTAGTTTTAATTTAAATATTTAGTGAGATGAATGAAATTGCGATTTCATTTTTAAAAGTTCCTTATATTAAAGTTCGAAGTGAGATGCTTTTGCTAAATGCTTAGAGAGATGCTAAATGCTTTTCTGTTAGCTGACTTCTGAAATAATTTTTTCTAAGGTTCATAGTTGAAAACTTTTGTTCACATATATAAGATTAAGCAAACATAGCGCTGATTTTCTGGACATGAAATATTAATTTTTGGAAACTAGATTTTGGTAATGATTTGTAAAACTTTGGCATATTTAGAAACAACTGCTTCAGATGATTGTTAGATTGTTCGCTCGTTGGATCTTAAAATGCGCAGTCTGCCAAATGTGAAGTACAATTTACCTATTTTAGATTTCCTCGAGAAAGACAAACGCTAGTTAGAGCCAATCTAAGGCTATTCTATGAAGAACTTCTGCTTTCAACATTTTACCAATTAAAGCTGTATGTGCTAACTATTTCCATCAATTTATGTTTTGTAGAACAAAAATAGAGAAAGTAAAAAGGTCATCAGTACTTTGTTAAAAAAGGAACAACAGAAATAATTTTAAATAGTAGACAAGAAAATGGACGTATATTGTTTGTATTTGCCACTGATCGGCAAATTAAAATTCAGCGGGCCGGATAAAACCTTCCGGCGGGCCAACTGTGGCCCGCCGGAAGGTTTTATCCGGCCCGCTGAATTTTAATAGTACGACAGGGATAATAACTTTATAACTACGACAGGGATGGGCCGTAGTTTGCCCATCCCTGTCGTAGACTATAGGCCATTCAATTTTCAACATTGTCAAAAAGTGAGTACTTAATTTAGACAGTTTAAAGGTTAAACAGCAAATAATGTCAGTTTTTTTCTGGTGATTTTGGAAAAAAATAGCCAAGGATAATCAACTCAGCCGTTTGTATAAACCCAGTTATATCAAACTATGAATCAAATTACCAATCACTAATACCAGGGATGTGATTCTTTCGTGGATTTCCGCTTTTTTTTTCAGATTTTTCCCGCGGAAAGTTTTTTTTGAACAAGTTAAAATATTTTATGAGGAACTTAATTTTCCTCGGAGAGAAAGTATTGAAGTCCTCATTCCTCCCTCTGAAGTTTCTCTAAAAATCATTTCCTTGGGATAAAACTGATTGACCTTTATACAGGGATGAGATTTTTTGCTTTTGCCACTCTAATTTCAGCCTTTTTATCAAAAACTTCAATTCTCTAAAAGTTAAGTTTTTTTTTAATAAATATCCCGCTTTTTTTTTGAAAATTCAGTTGTTGAAATAAAATAATTACATTTATTTACGATTTTCAAAGATAGACAGAAAATTCAAACTACGTCCTAGCTGCTAACCCTTCCATATTTTTACTTATTTTAGCTATTTTCTCTGCTTTTATGCCCAAAAAATAAGATTTTCTGTATTTTTATTTGTCCGCCTGATAGCTCGTACTTTCGCAATTCAGACGTTGTGACCCTGTCATCTGACGTGAAAGCAAACGAAGAAAATAATAATAAATTGAGGTGGATTTGAAGTGAAAATATTTATTTGCTCTTTCATTGTAAAATTTTATTTATTATGTTTAAACAAAAACAATACAGACATGCCTTTTAGAAATCCCGAGTCCAGACTCTGCAAATATCTCGCTTCTTATTCACGCGATTTTAATATCAATAATTGATTTTCGTATTTACCTGGTTTAAAAGTTGCACATTGCGATTCTTATTTACGCTATTTAAACATCATACATTATTATTCTTATTTGCGAGATTTGTATTTACACGCTTTTAAAACCCTATGTAGCGATTCGCGAGAGCTTAAAATCCAATGTCGTGATTTGTTTTTGCGGTTGTAATATCAAACATCGATTTTCGTACTTATACGTGCTTTAAAAATTAGACATTGCGATTTTTATTCGAAAATTATGCATTGTGATACGTATTTACGTGATCTAAAAATTACGCATCATGATTTGCATTTTCGCGTTTTTTAAAATTCGATATAGAATTTCATATTCACGTGATTTAAAAGCCTCATAAAGGGATTCGTTTTCTCTCAATTTAAAATCGTGCATGTGATTCATATTCATACAATTTTAAAATTAATCATGGGGATTTATAATCACATGGCTTAATTGCACTTTTTGCACTTTTTTTGTCAAATTTGTGTATATATATATATTTCTGACTACTCTCATCCCTGTTTCATGTGCACATAGATGAATGCAACTAGTCTAACAAATCAAGCTATATTGAAGGAAGTTTTTTGTTATATAAAAAGAAACACATTTATTTGACACAAATACAAATTAACAAACAAAAAATAAATTGAATTACCTGTAACAGGTTAGTATAAATTTTGCAAAAATGGATTGAAATACCCATAATGGGTTAATATAAACCTTAAATACAAAACTTTTCTCAACAGAAACCAGCTCTCTTGATCTTGTTATTTTTTTTCTTAAAAATCATGCTTGTGTTAACTAAATATTTTATGGATATTTTAAGACTCTTTACTAGTAATGTGCAAAGAGGGCAAATGCCCCCGGAATCATCGAATGGATAACTAAGTACATCAGTATTAAAAGCCTGTTACTATGTAACTCATTATTAAGAAAATATAAATTTCTTATTATGTAAATAACATAGATATAAAGGCATAAAGATGAATAACTCGACCAATCAGACCTCGGGGTGAACTTTGACACCACTATTCTAGTAACTAGTTTCTACACCGCCCTCTTCTAGGCTGTTTGTTTGAACAAAACATCATTGAAGTTGTTTCTTTATTGCAGCTGTATATAATTTGTTCCTTTTTTTTAATGATTTTTACATAAAATAGGTTACTATAATACTTTTTATAAACATAATTTTAATCTGTTGCTTAAATTGCTAGTTATTTTGATTTCTGGGATTGTTAAAATATAAAAAGTTCACAACATTTACTAAGATGACAGGCCCTCTGATGATAAAAAAATTATTGGTTATAAAAAGTAATTTACCGTTCAGCAATCCTATTACCGTTCAGCAATCTAAAAGACTTTTTTAAAAAAATTTTTGACTAGTGTTTAATAAAACAATAGCTCAGATAAAGGTAGATGATTTACAAATCTATTATATATAATTCTCTTACGT